GCCGGGATTTGACCTGTGGCGCAAATGGTGGCCATGTGGTTGCTGAAGACTAATTCTAACCCGGATCTTCACTGGTGTATTGTCACAAAGGATAAACGAGAAGCCTTGTGTTGACAAGTAACTACAAAGCCTTGGTCATACCTGGCTCAGGTGTCACTACCTGGTAGCAACTTAAATATTCAAAATGTTCAGAATGACAGTTTTTCCTTCAGCAAACCAGCTAATACATATCTCCCGGGGAGACAGGTCTTCATTCGCAACAGGATGCAGAACATAAGCGGTTTATGTGTTTGAAAAAATACAGATCGGGCGCTATTTGATCGCATTGGTTTTGACAGGTGTGACAAATTGTAAATTTGTTTTCTTCTTCAATGTATTTATCTGACAGCCACAGACAGATATGTGAGCAGCTGCGAAGGAAACCTAAGTATAGTTCCTACAAGCATGTTCTTGTGAGTTTAGTTTTACAGATGGTAAGTGTACTACGTTGCTAATTATACAAGACACAACCACATGCATGTGCGTGTGTGCTTGTCTACGCGCGTGCTTGCGTACGTGAATGTTACATAGGTAGTACTTAAAGGGAAATGATATTCCCATTACATGGGTGGACATTTCATGTACATATAATGCGAGTCTCAAACGCGTTGAGGCACTGTACTGCCTGCTTGACGTAACAGCCGACTTCTCGTGAGGACTGGATGGTTAGACACATTGTGTGTCATTCAAGTATTACTGCGTTCGGTGGTAGAGCTAATCTCCCGGGTTCGATTACCGTCAAGGGTACCATGTGGGGTGCCAATTACTAGAGACCCCCTTCAGTGATACTGAATTATACTCAATTACTGAGAACAGGCGGCCGTGCTACAGTTAGAATATTGCTGCCTGCGGCGTCATGAGACTATACTCAATCACTGAAAACAGGCGACCGTGCTACAATTAGAATATAGCTGCGTGCGCCGTCATGAAAACCACACTCAATCACTGACAACAGGCGACCGTGCTACAGTTAGAATATTACTGCGTGCGCCGTCACGAAACCATACTCAATCACTAACAACAGGCGACAGTGCTACAGTTAGAATATTGCTGCCTGCGAGGTTATGCACGCACTCTTACTGCATTAATATAGCGACACCTCTTAAACCTGTACTTCTGTATGTGGGGACCTTTGATGCAGTGTTTAAAATAAAAAAGAAATGCAAGGCTGCCATGAGGACCCACAGGTCCCGAATAAGCCTAAGGGCATTTTTTGTTGTTGAACACTGTCTCGATGTACTGGTGTACGATCAAGTGAACTATGCCCTTGTACCAGCTGTATTGGTCCATTAGATGTACTGATGTACGATAAGCTGTGCTATTTCCGTGTACTAACTGTATTGGTCCATTAGATGTAGTGGTGTACGATCAGGTGGGTTATACCTGTATATTAGGTGTATTGGTCCATTAGATGTAGTGGTGTACGATCAGTTTGGTTATACCCCTGTATTAGGTGTATTGGTCGATTGGATGAAGATGTGTACGATCGGTCAGCTTATACCCGTATATTAAGTATATTGGAATACCCGTATATTAAGTATATTGGAATATTAGATGTAGTGGTGTGCGATCTGTCGGGTTATACCCGTATATCTGGTGTATTGGTCCATTAGATGCAGTGGTGTACGATCAGTCGTGTTATACCTGTATATTAGGTGTATTAGTCTATTAGATGTAGTGATGTACGATCAGTTTCGTTATACCCGTGTATTAAGTGTATTGGTCCATTAGGTGTGCGATCTGTAGGGTTATACCCGTGTATTAGGTGTATTGGTCTATTAGATGTAGTGGTGTGCGATCAGTTTGGTTATACCCGTGTATTAGGTGTATTGGTCAATTAGATGTAGTAGGGTACGATTAGTTGGGATATACCAATATATTAGGTGTATTGGTCCATTAGATGTAGTGGTGTAAGATCATTTAGGTTATACCCATATATTAGGTGTATTGGTCCATTAGATGTAGTGGTGTACGATCAGTTGAGTAATACCCATATATTAAGTGTATTGGTCTATTTGATATATTGGTGTACGATCAGTATGGTTATACTCGTATATTAGGTGTATTGGTCCATTAGATGTAGTAGGGTACGATCTGTCGGGTTATACCCGTATACTAGATGTATTGGTCCATTAGATGTAGTAGTGTACGATCAGTAGAGTTATACCCGTATATTAGGTGTATTGGTCTTTGGATGTATTTGTGTACCATCAGTTGTGCCAGGCTCTTGTACTAGCTATGCTAGTCTAAGGACAATTGTTGCAGAACCGTGTTGAAATAAATAGTACTGCGTTATGGTATTTCTAAACACACGCTATCCTGACGACAACTCACGAGAAACCCAATATTGAACAAACAGACTTATGCAAATGGCCTCGTCTTGTATGAGCATAGAACACGAATGTAAGTGATATGCCACTCTTCCTTGTCAGAGCTGTTGGTTCATACTCATCTGATCGTGTCAAACATGACATTAGGTTTCAGAAACAACTTGTCACGTTTTTTCAAGCCCGTCAAAGTAAACATGGTTGTCAGTCCTGGTGTACGGGGACACTTAACGAGTGGGCAGACATGAAGGATATCTGCAGATCTGGCATATTCAGTGGGTGTTTGTGTGTGTGTGCGTGAATAGGATGTTTAAGGCTTGAAAATTAACAATAACACATTACCGAGATCAATATCATACAATGTACACAAGGATCCAAAGAAAGGAAGGGACATAAAAGGTATACGATATTTACTTCCTGGTTGTATTCCGCTAATGCATGGCGTGGTTGGCAATTTAATGACTTCAAGATACAAAGATAGTATCGTGTTTCCTATTTCGCTGAAATGACCTTTTTTATTGAACGCCATGGTAAAGCATTCTGCTGCATTTGTGGGATGTGTATGCATCATATGTTTTGCATACATTTACGTGTGTGTGTCATCAATGGCCAAGCCATCTAAATGAACAAATGAAAGCGATAAAACCTCTCGTGAATGTCATCAAAGCGGTAAACGACTGCATCACTGCGGGCTATCAATTCCCTGACCTGACATGCCGCCATATAACTGAAATATTGTTCAAAGCGGCGTTGAGCCTAACACACGCACTCACACACTTGTAAACATTTCACCCCATTGACATTCCATGACCCTTCGTGACAATGTATTTATGATTGTGTAACATGGTACCTGACTGTGTAAATCGCTGTTCAGAGGACGTGAGGATGTTCACGAGGTTCATTTGTTTTGTTCTGACAAAATGATGATATCACTGTCTGCAACAATAGAGGCACACAAGAACAAGAGCACAATTTTCTTAAATAAAAGCGACAAACCGCTTTCCTTATTTATAAAAAAATATCTGTAAAATGCAGAGTCGATTGTACGATTCCGATTATATTATGAGCATGTGTTAATGAATCACTATCAATTGAGAATTGTCCGCCACATGTCTACCATAAAACGTTTTGAAAGCTTTACTGAGGCCTTGAATGTTGTAACCTTGATCAAACAACTTCTGAGTAAGTGTATTATGACGTTCTTTGAAATCTTGGTAGGGAGCATGTTCGATTCCACCTCAAAGTTGTGAAATGTAAACACCAATGGCTGGAGCTACTGGAATATTGCTCCACATAAAGGGAGAGTTGGCGGTCTCAATGGCCTCCTTTAGTTCTAGTTCAGATGGGTAAATCAGTGGAAGGGAACTGGCTTTTTGATGGTTTTTGAACGATACACCTAACGTTAAAGTGGCCAAATTACCTTGTGTTGACTTTGCCAATCCGAGCAGAAGTTCTGATTCAAGGTATACAGAAAGAAGAAGATCCGGAAGAAGGGGAGCATGTTTGATGCCTGTGGGGATGCATACTTCTAAACTAAATGTCTCTCCCCCAAACTTAACATATGTGTTATTAATGAGGCAGTGCAGCAGTGTCCGTATTGCTGCAACTTACGCAATAGGGAATAGGGAATCTGCAATAGGGAAATTTGGAAACACTCAATCGCGGAGAGTAGTTTGGCGGGGATCGACCGTGTTCGGTAGCTTGACTACTTAGAGTTTCTAAGAGCCTCAGCCCTGCCCCACACTGAATCCGTTGTTACATGTGGTGTCTCCTTAGGCAAGAGACTTTGTCCGAAATATGCCTCTTGTCTCTTCACCCAGCAGTAACAGGGTACCCGGTAGGATGAGATGGTAATTTGACTGTTAACCTTCTAGCGCCTGGGTTGTATACTCCCCAGAGAATATCAACTGACCCACCGACTAGGGTGATTATAAAATGCCTTGTGCATGATTTAGGGTGCGGATTGGACGCATTATAGACATACACGTTAATATTTTCCTTAGTTGCTCAAAGTAATGTCAAAACAAATGGGTTGATGAACACACAATGAGTTTTAGAAAGTGATCAAATGTAGCAATGTTATATTTGGGATAACACTTTCTTCGTTAAGTACAGATTCTAGTTTTTTGGGGGTTGAGTCTCATCCGGGTATTGGCGATGAGGTACCTCATTCTGGCATTCTGGTTTTGAATCCCGGATGGGACTCAACCCCCCAAAAGTACCAGAAACTGTACTTTACTAAGAAAGTGTTATCCCAAATACTATTTGTTATAAATGGGTCTATGTTGTTTTTGCATTATTGTATAGAAAATCGTCGTGGCAATCTAAGACGAAAGACTTGCATGTTCTCGGGACATTTGAACTGTGTGAAGCAGGGCTAACATATTCTAGCCTTTTCAGTAACATGCAAACAAGAAACAAACACCGTGACTGCCGGGTTACTCTGACTGCATGTGATAGAGAGTGATTGTGTAGCTTGGGTGTATTTGATCTGGAAGGCTTGTACTCAGTACCCATTATGACGCTACAGACGACAGAGTTTGCCAGGTGTGTTTCAGTCTTTTTTCCAGAATCTTCAGCTGATACCCGGATCTGGGGATAAGATGAGTCATGTGCCCATGTAAGGGATGAGTGTCCACCCTGTGCAGTCATTGGGTGGTCATGAATATATCATGTGACATTCATACGCCGCAACTCACTTCTCGACCGACAGGTAACAGGGAACCTTGTCGTAAGCCTACAACCGCGGACACTACATACTCTTCTCATTGGAAAGGTAGGTTTGCCCGGATTGTGTCACGCTATGCAATGTTCACCGTCCGTGCATCACTCTCAAGCGTGATAATATCCCCGTGTTTACATTCGTAGTTTTCTCGCTAATCACAAGAACGACCGTAAACATGTCAATAACTTATAAAAGAAAACTTTATCTTAAAATCAAGCCATCTTTTGAGTATTTGCAATGTATGTGTGACACCGCAAGCCTCGTCATAGCGGGAGTACTCGCGATAAACATAGCCGCCCGAAAACATATGATCCGACGATATATAGTTTGCATGTAGTACAGATTCATAAGGATTAGCTTCTTGACAAAGCACAGCTGGTAATTCTTGATAATTAAAGAGTCACTTACCTGTGTTCGACTGTATCAGATCGGCTGGTAGTTGGTCCTCATCTCAAATTCGCCACTTTGGTCTTACTGTTCTGGTTCTAGGCTTCTCTGAAGATGTAGACTTGTAAGATCTGCACTGTTTAATGTTTTCGTATTATATGCATACCATGCCAGGATATTACTGAAACATCGTTGTATATGTCATTTAACTCGCTCACTCTAACACGTCTTGCTTTCAGTCTCGTCTCGTGAACAGGATGAACTTGTTCGCGGTGATTGCCCTTGTCCTCGGTGTTCACGCAGTGTCTGGCCAGAGTAAGATATGACTGTGATATATAATTGTCAGATTAAGATCAGCTCATCAGTTTCAATCTGATCATTAGAAATTGGAATTTTTGGTCCACATCATTTCATATTAGTCTTAATAATCAGTAGGTCTGGCTCGGTGATTTGGTTGATTGAGAATCAACGTACCCGGATAGCGTGGGTAGCTGCTCATACAATCAATGACGGTATTGTCTGGTCCAGACTCGATGATTTACAGGCCATCGTTATAGCTGGAATATAGCTCAGTGTGGCTTTTAAACAAACTAACAATCTTAACAGAAGTCAGTTTGGGAATTGGGTAATTTTCAAATTCACATATTGTGTCCTATTGTGTAATATGTATATGTATTTTACAATCCACAACCTTTTCAGGATAAGGCTAAAAAACTGTACAATATAACTGAAAGTCCTTACTATCTCTCGTGTTAAGTGACCTGAGCCTTTTTGATTTCTCTAATGCGGGTTTACTTATTATACCTTTATGTTCAAGGAATGGCTCAAATTTGAGACTTGCTTGTATTCGAACGTGGCAATATTATACATGTTCGACGATTTAGACACTGAAAATCCGTAAATCGATTTAAATGAAACCTTGAAGTAATATTTGGAAACATTTATATTTCTGTGTTTTCCAGACTGCGCGCACCTGCTGGATGTCGTTGCCGTTGTTGATGGCTCTGACAGCATCTTAGATGATGAGTTTATCCTTCTGAAGAATTCTCTTATCCAGCTGACAAACTGGCTTGATCTTGGAGAGGAAGGTCAGATGTTTGGTGCCGTGGTCTTCAGTTCGTCTGTATCTGACGTAGCGCATCTCAGCACCAACCGGTCACAACTGCAGGCACAGATCAACCAGTTTGGTCACCCTCAAGAAGGGACACACACGCACCTTGGAATCGCCAAAATGACAGAGATAATGCGTAATGAGAGTCGTCCTGGCGTTCCTAAAGTCGGCATCGTCATCACCGACGGCCGGTCCCGATATCCAGACAGAACTGCACAAGAAGCTGCAGATGCGAAAGCTTTGGACATCGAGATGTTTGCGATCGGAATCGGATCAAGAATCAGGATCTCAGAGCTAAACGACATTGCATCATCTAACGCCAATGTCAAGAATATTACCGCTTTTAGTGAACTCAACGACATTATCGTCACTCTGGTGCAGAAGGTCTGCAAAGGTATAGCCAAACACATTGATTTTCTAAGCTGTATTTTTTCTGTTGTTTCACATCGATGTAAGTCATACTTGAAAGCATTAAGATCGAGTATATCCTTTAAGTTATGTTGCATTTTATTAACCTGTCTCATTTAATGAGTGAGTGAGTGAGTTTGCTTTTACGCCGCTTTTAGCAATATTCAAGCAATATCACGGCGGGGGACACCAGATTTTGGTACTTATTTTGTATGTACTTTTGAAATACCTGGCCTTTTATCTATTTTGAAATACCTGGCCTTTTATCTATTTTGAAAGTCATCCTTAAGGACATGAGTACCCTTTTCGCTAACACCTGGTGTCATCAAGATTTTCAGCGATCCATTCATATAATAGTCATCACTATTGTGTCTCTTGCGCCTGACCGCTAGATGATGTTTTGAAATTATTCATGTCTACCATGTCGGACTGAAATTGATTTTATAATACACTAGTGGACCTTACTTGTTAAATAAGCATTGCACAATTGCTTTTTCTTCTTTGTTACGAAGCTCGAGAAATTTGTAGCTTATTTTAGAAAAGGGTGATGAGATGTTATAGAAAACATGACTGAAAATCAGTAGACTAATCAGCAAACCAAACCATTTCACGTTTCATTCTTACGATAATAGTGAGTGAATGAGTATGGTTTTACGCCGCTTTGTGCAATATTCGAGCACTATCATGACGTGAGACACCAGAAATGGGCTTCACACATTGTCCCCATGTTAGGAATCGAACCCGGGTCTTCGGCGTGACGAACGAACGCTTTAACCACTAGGCTACCCGACCGCCCCTCTTACGATATTAACATCACCGTCAACTTAGATCAGTGGATAACAACGTTAATGTTCTTTTTATAAATATATTGATCTTTTTTTTAAAAAATCTTGCCCATTTACAAATCCTGATGGTCACGCTACCTTGTTATCTCAATCATTTGTTCTTACAATACAGTTGACGGAAACTGGACTGAGTGGACGGATACTGTCGGAGTGTGTTCTGTATCCTGTGGAGGAGGATCTAAAACCATCTCCAGGACCAGGGCCTGCACCAACCCTGCTCCCAGCAACGGCGGAGCGGACTGTGTAGGGTCTCCGTCTGATCAATACACAGAGAGTTGCAGCACCAACGGATGTCCAGGTACGCATAATACCATATTTAAAGCATTCTTTCACACTTGTTCGCAAAGTTTGGTATTATCGCTATTTGATAGTGGTTCAAAAACATTTATTGTGAGCATTGTAAAACGTGGTCAGGTAATAACAGGGTATTTGTATGTATTAAAAAAAACTTGTCAGCCATTCAAACTGCCTTTTATTGTATATACAAAAGCAATCATAAACAAATTGGTATTTGGTATTTTACCATTATCTTTATTTTTACCAATTGAATGAAAGTAAATACATTTTCATGTATGCGATTTTCTTAAAAAAAAAGTTATGCGTTATGCGTTATTCTTTTTACAACAAAGTTGACGGAAACTGGACTGAGTGGACGGTTACAACCGGAGATTGTTCAGCGTCATGTGGAGGAGGATCTAGAACCATCTCCAGGACCAGGACCTGCACCAACCCTGCTCCCAGCAACGGCGGAGCGGACTGTGTTGGATCCGCAACAGGAGATTATTCAGAGACTTGCAACGCAGCAAGATGCCCAGGTGAGTTTATAATCAGCTTCACGTCATGTAAATGCGGACATGAATATCGCAGTGCTTGTGCACTCCGTTTACCAATGGATATTACGTCAACGTAACATTTGTTCAAGTTAAAGTAAGTATTTGTTCACAAATACCTTTCCTGTTTCTGACAGATAGCTCCACGATCCTGAAGCTCTCCTAGATTTATCGACAATTATATGTAGTCAAGGACAGTCACTTCACAAAAAGAGCTGTTGTTAGCGTTGAAATTCAAATGTTGTGAACAAAATATGATGTCATCATGAGGAGAAACCTACATGCTAAATTCCATCTCTCTCGGTCACGCACATAGCCAAATAGCGAGAGAGAATTAAGAAGCATGGTCAAAACACGATCAACATTGTGCAAAAGAATTAGAACAGCACACTCAACAAATGGCATTTATTTATGGAATATAATGATGGAGTAACAGCCATAAGTATAGTATAATGTGTCAAATGGAAATATTTAATATCGCCAAACAATCGGATCATATACATGTATGTTGAGCCCAACTACTTACTACATCATCATATTTGATGAACAAAGACTGAGAAAGGGAAATGAAAAGCCTTTGACATATGGCCACCACAATGAAAATCGGATTCGAATTTTGCGCAGATATTTTTCAGATTTTTTGGTAAAGTGGTTTCTGAGGAGATGCACTCATGAGGAAATGCATTTTGAGAAATTATAAGTGCAAAGTACAAAGTACAAAGATCAAATAAAGGTCCAAAGTTTGAATATCGTAAAATCGTTTACATCACATGGCCCCATTCACAACTACATATATACGAAATTTCACATAAAATCACTGTGTAATGAGCATTAGCTAATGTACTTTCAAATATCACAAAACAGCAAATAGATTGATCCCGACTACTAACATAAATAGCTTTTCAATATGTCCACATCATCTTTCAAAGTTTCAGCTGAATCAGCTGTTCCTCTGTATCTTACGGTTTACGTAATTGATATGTTCATCTGTATTTCGATTACCATCGATTATTTATAGTTCATGGGGGCTGGTCGACCTGGATCATCACCACTAGCACGTGCTCAGCTTCGTGTGGAGGTGGATCTAGAACGGTGTCCAGAACCAGACGCTGCAACAGTCCTGTTCCAAGTTTCGGCGGCAATAACTGTGTAGGGTCCTCTGATGATACATACACAGAAACGTGTAACACAGGGGGATGCTCAGGTAAGGTCTAAACCCCTAGTCCCACCTAAGTGGCATGCACACACTGTACATGGATTCAAACTTTCACTTGTGCTAAGATTTATGTAAAAATAGATTCAGTTAGGAAGGAAACTTTCTCCATTAATTAAAGTTTAATGTGATGCGTTGTAGATAGCTTAGAAACGAATTGTGTTAATTACACCAACATACAGGTGGTATAAGTATCAAATCGGATGTAAACAGCTGAAGGTTCAACGAAAAACATTATTCGTATTTTTTAGATCCATGCAGAGGTTGTCGGTATGCCAACGGTATTGGATACTTGCCAGACCCCGATGACTGTGCCCGGTTCATACAGTGCCAGGAACCCAGACCAGGGACCAGTGCTATTTTCCATAACATGCAATGTAGTCCGGGTCTGTACTGGAACCAGCAACACTTGGTGTGCGATTGGCCAGCTAATGTTGTCTGCACAGTGGAAGCTGAAGGTGCGTGGTAAACTCTATACATACTAAATACGAGAATATTAGTTCATTGTTATCCTTTCATTCGACACCACCATGACCTTAAAGTTTAAGAACGGGGAGGTATTGTGAATAAAAGCGACAAAACCATTTCCACAATCATGGGTTATATCCATTGTACTATTCCGACTATATTGTAAGCACGTGTTTATGAATCACTATCACATAGCTCTGTTACCAGATGTTCGCGAGCCCGTCACAAACACATGCAAAGACAATTGTTTACCTGAAACAACACGGGGCATATGGTGTAAGGCAAAATAGGGAATTGCATCAGACATAATATCTGACATACACAAACAATCGCATACCAAGAATTTGTTTTTTTGTTTTCGTCACAGATGAACCATTTGCTCCATCAACTGCTGCACCGTCAACATCTGCTCCACTGACTTCTGCTCCCTCGTCGTTGTGCGACGGCTCTACGAAGGCAAAGCCTGGCAATACTGCTCAGTATCAGCAGCTGATTCATGGAAACTGGATCACTAGATACTGCGCTCCCGGAACTGTGTACTCAAGTACAAGTTGCAGCTGCATCACTGGCCAGAATGTCGCATCCCCAGGTAACCCTGCACCTGTAGATAGTCAGTGTGGTACTTTTGTTGTGTTGCACTGTTCCACTCTGTTGGAAAACGAATATATATCTTAAAGGTTTTTCTTTACTTATAAAAAGCATAATATCTACACTTGTCCACAGAAGTAATTCAAACTTTACATATCGTTCCTATCAGTTTCATCGAAATCAGTAAAAGCACTATCGTGTCGCTGGATTTTCTGGTCCATTAATCACTTGATTGTCTGGTTTGTTTACAGGTCGCCGTTGCATGGCAGGAAAACTGCTTTGCGGTGCCTGGCAGAACATACTTCTTTGAGCAAATTGTATGAATGGCTGGTGCTCGCGTAAGGGCAGGCCATGCTTACCCCCATCGCGAACACCTGGTGTTATCTCTGATTTTCAGTGGTCCATTCATATCATTTTCACAGCTATTTTGTCTTTTGTGCCAAATGGAATTTGTTTCGGTGGATTATCTAGACTGATTAATCTCTTGCACTGACAATTTATCTTTGCTTAATACATATGAACATACATGAGCTGAGACCAACGATGAAGATATTATACTCAATAACCTTTTGACTTAAGGTATTTATGTGGTTCTTGCAACTGTAATTATAGGAGATAACGAGGTACACATGCATGAAACAAGTGTGAAGAAGGTTGCATTATGTGAATATAGATCACAACATTATGAATATCATTTTCATTTCAGTTTGTCAGGCCGAGGTTTACCTTCCTTTCAACAGCGACGTTAATGACCATTCTGCCAACCGCCACTACGTACAAAACACTGGAATTGTTACTACAAGCAGAGGCCACGGCGTCTTCAGCAACAACACCCAACTCCGCATCCTGCGTTTCTCCAACATGCATTTCGGTAACACCTTAATCATCTCCTTCTCCTTCAAACAAACTCAGACAACAAGCAAAGCACAGGCTATCGTCACCAACGACGACTGCGGACACGGCGGCAGCATCTACATTACCACCCAGCGCTCAACTGTCTACTTTCGTGTTGTCAACAGCAACAACGTAACACATACTTTGAATATAACTTACACAGTGAGTATAAAAAACTTTGTTCTTACACTCCATCACATATTTATGCAGGAACAGGTCCCCTGTACCAATACTTGTTAGAGCCGACTGACATTGTGAACCGATCGTCAAGCTCTATTTATTGCTTGGCATCGTACCCTAATGGTTAGGGATCGATGCTGACACCTCTTGGGGAGGTGGGTAGCCAAATGTTCAAAGCATTCTATCATTACCCTTAAGGTATGGGTTCGATTCCGAGGTGGATGCAATGTGTGAGGCCCATTTCTGGAATCTCCCGCCGTGATATTGCTAATAAAAGGGCGCTCAACCCACTGACTGACTGGTTAACCTGTTCCAGACGCTCTTATGAATCTGGAACATTGCTGATCGGGTCAGACAACATTCATTCTAGTCAAGCGAGAACATGTCTATATTATAGAAATAAACGACGAGTGGGAGTTGCTTAGCATACAATAAAACAAAGCAGGGAGAAAAAACCATGAAGGGCGCAACATATATGAGTATCGACATTTTTGTAGAACCCAAGCTATAAATATATTTACCGTATTTTAATAATGATGACTCCCTGAATAGAATCCTATTTAGCTATGTCGGACAAGTCCATGTTAAAAACAGCTTGGTTAAGTTGCTATTTCCCGCATATTCTCAGAATCCTCACGTCGACTATCTGTACCTCTTCTCCCAATACCGAGTTTCATATTTCTCCCACTACTGGAGCGGAAGGTCCGGGGTTCGATCCCCAGGCGCGTCAAACCAAAAGACGTTAAAAGATGGTACTTGTTGTTACCTTGTCTGGCGCTCGGCATTAAGGGGCTAAACAAGGACTGGTCGGCTCGGAGTCAGTATACTGTGTCTGAGTGGTGTATTCATGTAAAACTGCGGCATGGTATCTCAGTGTGCTAGCACTATAAATCGGCATCAGTCCAGACTAGTACAAGCAGCCACACACACAAACATACACGGGAATGTTTACTCACACTATTAACATCGTAACAAAGTGGACAATAGTTGCTGGGAAACATGAAGGTAATGGACTAGTTACGAGTTGATATTATCCGTTGTGGGTTTGAACATTTGTGTGTGGGTACATTTCAGGCCACGACGTCCCTGATTGAGGTGAAGCTGATCATCAAGGATGGGCTGATGAAAGCAGAAGTCAATACCTCCAGGAAACAGAGGACATTTGATGGTACAAATATTTGGATGGTCGTTTGAAATATTTCCTGTATGAAAGAATCCAACTTGAACAGTATGATACACACCGTTATTTTGTGGTTATGGCACCTGAAAACATATTAAGCAAACGGAAGGGAATCACTATCATTGAACTGGTCTACCGTATTTCAAATTGCCAAAGTTACCAACAGCAGTTAATTTTTCATGAAGGTATAAATGCCAACACAAACGACATCGAATCAAAGATTTTACGGACTCATTTTCTGACTGGCACTAGAGAGGTTCAATGTTCACAATCTTATTTTCTTCATTCATCTGAAATGTAAAAATATAAACTGCCGGGACAAAAGATGTATACAATTAAAAACTGGAATTTACCAAAACATTACAAATGTTATCAATACATTACTGGGTTCAAAACAATCGCAGCAACACTGTAAACTTAGTGTCCAAAAATACAATGATGACACCCGACAAATACATAACCATCGAATAACCATTTCGTGTTCACTATTATTTATTAGCTACCATTAAACATATAAAGGTGTATAGTTTCATTTGTTTAGTTCATCCCTATTTGTGAAGTTAAGCACTTGAACCACTTGAGTCTGTTTTGTTTTAAACGAAAAAAATGAATACGAGAATACGAATTCTGCTTAAATGACGACCGTTTATCTATCTGAAAAAAACTTTCAAAGTGATCACAATTATAACTATACCTTCTTCCCTATTCATCATTTCTTGAATAATTTGCAGGAAACATCGGGAAAAGCCAGTGTGCAATGCAGATTGGGTACGGTACTGGCCTCGACTTCTTCCACGGTGTCCTGGAAGAAGTACGTCGTTTACCTGTTCTTAGTTATACATTTGTTGTCTGAACTGAGTTTAAGACTTAGTGTTTTATTATTACTTGCTAGCCTGAAACATAAATTGAGTCAAATGGATATGAACAGTTCCAGGGTATATTAAAGAATGTAATGCTTGATGATGCTGGTAAGAGAGTGAGTAAAGGTTAAGTAAGTTAACGCTTCTTAACAGTATTTCAGTAACATCATGGTGTGCCAACTTATTAGAGGAAGATGCCACACATATCCTCGCTTAACCATATTGCAGTGGCGTTAAAAAGCAAACGAACTTGTAGTGTATCTTGCTTTTGTGTTTCAGTTCAAAGTTTTCATCTGCGATCCATAGAGCCGGTAGTTCAACACAGTGATTCATCACGTGGGACCATGAAGTGCTGCTTTTATCTCGATATCAATATTAAAATGTATAGCACACTATTTCCGATTCTGTCATGTTTGTTATAAATACTGCTCTTTGCGTATCCCTTAATGTTTGTCTTAACGAAACAAATTAATTGAAAAGTCGGTATCCAAAGTAATATCTCTGTACCGTAACAAAAACATGCGACATAGAATCCTGCACTCAAGGATAATGTTGGGCAATGTTAACGCCGTGTCGTGTCTGTAAATCATCGTATATTAACGAGATGTACACAACGTTTGGTTCTGTAAGAGTAACCAAATGAACTGTTATGATTTTCCTTTTTCCTTTCCACGTTATTGAAGATGGGACATACATGTAGGATAGGCATATTGTTCTACATAATCGAACATATGATAGGCACATTGTTCTACATAAGGGTACATAAGATGGGATATCTTGTTCTACATAATGGACCATAGGATGGGACACCTTGCTCTACATAATCGACAATAGGATTGGTATATTGTTCTACATAATGGACCATAGGATGGGCATATCATTGTACATAATGGTCCATAGGATGGTCATATTGTTCTACAAAACGGAACATAAGAAACATATAGCCATAATGTTTTACATGATCGACCATAGAATTGGGCATATTGTAGGCATATTGTTCTACATAATGGAGCACAGGATAGGCATATTGTTCTACAAAATGAACATCCTGCTTAGCATAGGTCTTCAGCAACCCATGCTTGTTGTCAGAGGCGACTAACTGGATCCAGTGGTCAGACTCGCTGACAATGTTGACAATGTTGATGCAATATCCACCGTATCTAAGAAGTTTAATTTTATGGCCAACTCATATCTTTACCCTGGTGTTTTGTCTGGCGGTGCGTCACTGTTGACACGTTGCACACAACGATAAATTGCCCTGCACTGACAGGACGTTTGTTTGCACATTTTACAGTTTGCCCTGTTCACGAGTGTAAGGAATACTGGAAGGGACACTCTCTTGACCTTTGGAAACGAGCTAAATAAACTAAAAGAGCGAGAATGCAAGATCGCGAGAACGCATTCTCGCGCCTTTAGTACATAGCAGTTTTTGTCAAAAGTGGACAACGCGAGAATGCGTCATTTGGACATATGTAAAAACCCCCATTTGAGACTTGTCAAATTAGGCCACAAAACAGGAAATCGCGTAAACACGCATGCGTAACATCACAAGGTGCACGTAAAGACCTCCTCTCCCGTTTTTACAGTTTCCTATATACTTTGAATTAAAAACAAACTCAATATAATCTAACAAAAGAAATTGTCCAATGATAGTGAAAACATAAAATGTCCGGAAGGTGGAAAAGATATCCCCGTCAGGGAGCGAGTAAATTTTGCTTAAAGTCGCATCAGCAGAACTGTAGCTAAAGCCGTCAGTTATTGAAATAATCACAGGCGAATTGCGACGCCTCAGACGAGTGAGCCACCAGATAACTGTATAGGTTATTGGCAGAGAAACGCGAGATCGCGAGATTAAAGTGTCGCAATCTTGCGTACTCGCGTTTTTACAAATAGTTTCATATGACTGTGTAGGCAATCGACACAAAAGCACGAGAATGCGAGAACGTGATGAAGTGTCGCGATCTCGCGTTCTCGCGTTTTTAAAAGTAGTTATGACTGTAAAGGCAATTGTCACAAAAGCACGAAAACGCGAGATAGCAACATTGTTCAATTTGCACAAAAGCAAGAGAATGCGAGACCACGGGAACGCGAGATCCCGACATTGGTCAAGTGTCACGATCTCGCGTTTTTAAAAGTAGTTATATATGACTGTATAGGCAATTAGCACAAAAACACAAGAACGCGAGAACGGGAGCTCGCAATATTGGTGAAGTGTCGCGATCTCGCGTTCTCGTGTTTTAAAAAATATGTGTCACCACATTACGTACACGTTACATTATTGAAGAAAACATGCCAATTTTGAGTTTCCCCGCATGCGTTGTTCCCGGATATATCTCGTCCCCGGAATGTTTTTTTGCATGTGTATGTTGCGTCCGAATCAGAGTGAGTGAGTGAGTGAGTGAGTATGGTTTTACGCCGCCGGGGGACACCAGAAATGGGCTTCACACATTGTCCGAATCAGAGCAGAATCACGTGCGGCAACATTCTTTTATGATTGATTTGTTGTTGCACGCCGAACTCAAACCGCATTATTCCAGCTAGTATGACGGCGTTTGTTAATGATCGAGTCTCTACCAGCCAGCCCAGTGATTGACATCATGAGCATCGATCCACGCATGTAATACGATGACATGCAATCATTCAAGCCACTGAACCTGACCACTCGATCCACGTAGTCGACAAGCACAGCTTGCAGCGGACCTATATTCTTACCCTGAATCTCCATGGTTGAAAATAGTACTAATACTATCATTGAAGTATTGCAATGCGTACATGACAGGGGCAATGAGGGAGTTTCGTGTGGTTTAGAAATATGTGAAGATGTGTTGTGAAATAATCATTTTCAGAGAATTCAATAGTTTTTTCATATGTTCCTCAATGTATTAATAAATATTCTGTTCTCAAGTTTTCTTGACCATACCCAAAACTGACAATTTCGTATTCTGTTTTATAACACTCTACCATGTTAAGAAGATGGAGAAACATATAAAAAATGAGAGGTTTCTAAGAAACTTAATGTTCGTCAACTGATAGTGATGGCACAACAAAGTCATTTGTGTCTCCATGAAAACCACATGACGTCATATTGCATTGTGCACATCTATACAAATGCAGATTTCTCTTAATGAATGGTCTTTTCGAGACTCGAGTATGTGCATACCGCCGCCATATATCTGGTCACACAATCCAGTAGCATTTGGACTGAGGGTAAACTTGAGCCAAAAAGATGCGTGTTTGCGCCCAAAGTTCAAGGATTATACTCTCATTGGTTATGTCCTTTAGTCAGTGTCCCTTGCACTTATCTTGAATTACAGTAAATATCTGGTTCTTTCCAGACCCCTTGGATAACTGTTTGAAGTTCCTGATTTTGTTTATTTGATTTGCTTAGTTTAAAAGGCATGAGCCGTTGGATCTTGGTGACGACTCACAATCATAATAACATATTCAGTGTTTCCATTGAACTGCTAACGTTCTGTAAACAGGAAGTAAGGCTGGTATTTAAATGCCAATTTAAATATGAGCGAGAAAATTCACATTATATGAAAGTATGTGGCAATGAGGAGCTATTCAGAAAATATGAACCCCTAAGGGCAAAGTGTTAACATGGTTGTATTGAGAAGTAAGGATCATCTTTCAGACGGGGATTTGGTGATACACTTGTTTGACTCTGTATTGTATCTATCATTGTACTTTCCAGTACAAAAGACGAATGGCCATGACTTTGGAACCAAAACATGATAATACTGATGCACGGTTTGGACGGAGTTTTTCCTCAAATTACACACTCGCCACTATTTGCTATGTCACTTATACCCAGTTCTTTGATCAAACGATTAATGTAATGATGCGTACATATAATGGTTATGTTATCTGAGGCCTTGTCAGTGAGAACAACTGTAAACTTTTCAGCTTTGTTGATTTGTCAACAATAGTCACCTGTAGTTATATAACATAAACGTTGGTAACAGTGTGATCCGTCTTGGCTATTTCCAACCATTCATTGGGGGCACGGATGGCCCAGTCGTCTAAAGCGCCGCGATTCGCTGTTCAGAGTTGCGTCCCTTGAGCACACCAGAAATCTATGATTGTGTGTTCGAATCCCGGTTCGCCCGGATTATGTTTCTAGGTTTGTCAGCACCATACCCGTGTTCGTGGGTTTCACCGGAGTGGTAAGCGTCTGAGAACTGCATCACTTCGGGCTTTTCTCCCACATTAAGCTGACACGCCGTGATATAACTGGAATACTGTTAGAAGCGGCGTTAAACCCAATTCACTCACTCACTCATTCCAACCCTTCGTCATATATGGAATATATGGAGTGTTCAATATGTCTTTTGATGACAGCTCTTTGGTGTATATACACTGGAAGAAATAGCTTTTTGTCCAGATATTTACAAACGTTCATCTCTTTCAAACAACGTTTTTGCAAACGGTGTTCAAGCACAACACTCTTGGCAGTGCTATCTGTTGCACACACGTCACTTTCTTCAATCATCGTATATATATATATTTGTGAGTGATATAAGTTGTCAGTCACGATACGATGAGGGCATTGTATGTCCACGTGTCCAATCGATTTGATCATGAAGCATTGTTGCAGTGTGCTGAATCCACAGTCATGGGTATTGTACGAGCGTTTCATCTGATCGCTACAGGATTACTTCCGCTTGTCCAGAGGAACCCTGTGTTTCATGTGTGATAAGAAGCAGACATCAGAACCAAGAAGTGATGAAAGGTTCACTGTCAATCAGTTTAGTGACTGCGTGGGCATTCCCATTGCCAGGAACTCGGAATGATTTTTCCTGTCACTTTGAAGGGAATCAATACAATTACTATTACACTCAATGGTTCGAGTTTGTTGTTGTACGCCACACTCAGCAATATTTCTGTTTAGTCTCTCTGGCTACAAATCCTTCAAATTCTAATCTGAGGCACCAGTGGGAGTTGTATACATCATCTCAGAATAGGAAGCCAAACAACGGGTAACGGCAAATTATTAAACATAGCTTATGACCACTGCAATTTTTAGATCGATTTGTTTGCAGCATATAGTTACGTTCGCATTCCACTCCGTCCCCAACATGACTATCCTTGCATTTACAGGTGACGGAGCCATCCGTGTTTGTGCAGTCGGCTTTTCATGGCAGTTATTGTACGATCGTATTCAGTCATGAATTATACTTAACAATTAATACTCAGTGTATTTTCACAACCAAGTTCTTTTAGTTTGTGTGGATCCCCCTCATGTCCAGATGGTTTTAATTGTCCTCCTCGCTGATATCGTTGTATCCAAACTTTCCTCCTCACTAAATCGACCTTTTCCCTAGGAAATTGCAAGAATGACACTTGGTACTTTTGTTCATCCAACACAACCCAATACCCTATTCAGCGTCTT